TGAGTCCGAGACCAACTACCTCTCCAGTCGGACGATCGTTTCATTCAGCCGTGCCTTTGTGGAATTTTGGCATTATTTTCTCATTTTGATTTTTGAAGATTATATTTTGTGTTTTTGGGCCTCCAAATTTGGACTGTTTTTTTTATAATGTTGTTAGGTTTTACCAGAGTACTACTCCCTAATATTTTTCCAAATGCTATGAATCTTTTTTTACTCTTGACCATTAATTATCAATTAAAGTGTTCATTTAGCAATTTCCCCTGTCCATATCATTTAATGTCTTGTGCATTTCGGTTTTAAATAACCGACCAAAACCATTCGGTTTTATCGGTTTCGGTTTGCTCGGTTTCCCAATATATCGGTTCGGTTTCGGTCGGTTATTATATATTGAAAAAAAGTTCGGTTATTTCGGTTTTGACCCGAAACCGACCGACCCGAACCGATGCTCACCCCTACGTACCAGAGCGTACTGAATACTCTCTCTGTTTTAAAACTAGTTTCCAAGTTGTATTTCGTAGTCAAACTTTTTGAACTTTGACCGCATATTACGTATGGGAAAATATATTAAATTTTCATACATATTTAATATAAATAAATTTGTTTTGAAACATGGTTTTGAAATATTTTATTTTTATAATATATATTTATACATAAATAAAGATATTATTGGGCAAAATATATTGCATTACAGAGCGTGAAAAATTAATCAAGAAGTTAATTGAGTAAATTCCATAATTAGTCCTTTATAACAGGGGGGTTTTCCTATTTAGTCCTCTATTATCAAATATTACTCTAGTGGTCCTTCTTTTATGAGTATCTTTCCACAAATAGTCCTTTTTTATCTTCTATCATGTTGGTGTTAATTTGAGGGCTAGAAGTGTAATTTTGCAATGACAATATATCTTTTTTGTCATATACAATTCCAAAGACTGTTCCGTTTCCGTCGTTTGTGAATTACAATCGCTTTCTACTACAACCATAGTCTACAAATGCGGTCTTTCGTTGGAATCCTAGCCCACGATCATAGTCATTATTTTTGTGTTATCCGCTAAACCAATATCACAACACGTCACTAGATATAATGTTGATGTCAAATTATACTTTTAGGGTTTAAATTAATACCAACACGGCAGAAGATCAAAAAAGAACCATTTGTGGAAAGGCACCCTTAAAAAAAGGACTACGGGTGTAATATTTGATAATAGAGGACTAAACACCCTTATTATAAAGGACTTATTATGGAATTTACTCAAGTTAATTTTAGAACAAAGGGAGTATATATATAATTAATTATATAAATGTGGATGGGTACGTGATGGATGCAGATAATCAGACAAGGGTATTAGTTCACAGCGAGGCGAAACATTTATGTGACAAAACGGAGAACGGTGGGTGCTCCATTAGCAGGCCGGGCACGGAATGCGAAGCGGATTGCAAGAGGAAAGGCTTCGACACTTATCAGTGCACATTTCCCATTCAATTCATTAGTCCCGGGTGGACGTGCTGGTGCCATAGATGGTGTGATGATCAAAACGACCATCACCACAACAAAGACTACAACACCGTGATGAACCAGCAGCCGGCACATCTCCACATATCACAAGTAGGCGGAGGGGGAGGAGCTAATTGCGGCGACCTCTAAATGATCAAATTGAATGCGTAGTATGTTATACGTAAGTACGTGCATGTGCATGCATGTTGTCCTATGTATCCTCGTCCTCGTCGCCATATATTGAATAATAATAATAATAATAATAATAATAATAATAATAATAAATCAGTCGATGTATGTATATATATGGAACAATAAAAGGAAATGATGGGCTACATGTGTGTATATATATCTCTCTATTTTCAATATGTAACGTAGAGACGTACACATGCATGAGGTGCATGAATTAACTAGATTGAGTTATATGTCATGTTTGGTTGTCGGTTAGTTTGGCATTGTCCATAACCTTCAAGCATATCATCACTCATTCACTACCTTCATTAAAAAAAATCACTGCTTATATTAGTTATATGTTTCACTTTCACGAAATCTAAAACAAAAAATGTTTTGAAATGAAAGAAAATGTAGTACATTGAAATTTCTTAATGAGAGAGCTAGACATCGATATTTGCTGAGTCATGTGTTTTTCTTTAAAAGGAAGTGAATTTTTATTGATCTCAAGAAAAAAGAAAAAAAATTAACAAAGATTTTTACTCATGATATATATATATATATATATATATATATATATATATATATATATATATATATATATATATATATATATATATATAAAAGTCATGTAACATATCAACTTTAAATTTTCTTTAAACGTTCATTTTAAACTTCTTAAATCAATTGTATTGGGTTTTAATCTTTAACTAGTTTTAACCCCGAGTTTCGAACGAACTTGTTTATGTACCCTTATGTAAAAGTGAAATTTGCACTAAATAGGACTAAAACATAATGACTTTCCTAATGTAGGACTTAAACTTTTTTATTCCATAAATAGGACTTAATAATAACCTCGTGGAAGGAATAATGTCCAGCAATGATGCACATTTAGTTGAATAATGACTTCGTGATAATTGTCAAAAAACCAACTCAACCAAAAGCTCAAGCTTGTGGTTGTGGCCCAAGAATAGTAATTTATATTCTAACACGTCCCCTCATGTGCAGGCGTGGTCTTCTTTGAGCCTTGCACATGAAACCTTAAATTTTTTTTTTAAACTGGGTGGCGGTGAGTTTCGAACTCGTGACCTTTTGGTCATCAAGGCTCTGATACCATGTCAAAAAACCAACTCAACCAAAAGCTCAAGCTTGTGGTTGTGGCCCAAGAATAGTAATTTATATTCTAACAATAATGACCAAAGGTCCTACATTGGGAAATAAAAACATATGGTTCTATATTGGGAAAGTCATTATGTTCTAGTCCTATTTAGGTAAATTTCTCAATGTAAAATATATCTTTAAATTTGGATTAAAAAATATGAAATGAAAAAAATGGAAAATGTATTAAAGTTGATATGTTACATACATAACCTATATATATATATATATATATATATATATATATATATATATATATATATATATATATATATATATATATATATACTAGTATTCTGACCCGTGCCATGCACGGGGTCGAACGTAATTTGTGTCGATATTGAATTATTTCAATTAAATATATTTTTTAGTATAAAGAAAATTTATTGTGCAAATTATTTTTAATACTACAGATGAAAAAAAGCCAAAGTAAAATAAATAATATTTGCGGAACAGAATGTGGTGATAACAATGTTTATTTTAATACCAAATTTTCTGAAAGACTTCAGGATATACAACATTTTTGGTATGGTTAATAACCAAATTTTCTCAAAGTGTTATTTCCTTTACATCATAATACAAAGTGAAAAATTTGTTTATGTTAGTATGTAAATAATGCTCAATAAGTATTGTTAAAGGAGTCACTTAATAAATTCTTTGAGATACCTCCACTACGTCAAAAACAGATGTTGACAACTGTTCTTTTTAGTAGTCTAACTGTGCTAGTTTCAGTAGTCTTCCGAGCAACTGTCTGATATATTTAAAGACTACTGTTTAAAACAATTGTGTAATACGGTTGACAACACCTATTTTGTGATGTTTCTGAGTACATGTTTTTGAAGTTGTCCTCGTATGAGTAAGACATCTATTTTCTAGAGTTAAAGACAACTGTGATGTTTTGTTGTCTGTCTATAATGAATATAACTTTTGTTTTCGACTTCAGACTCCTATTGCGTGGTGTTGTCGTTCAACAATATAGACATCTAATTTCAAAAGTAGTTGAAAGATACATCAGGCAGCTGCTTAGAAGACTACTAAACAAAAATAGCATTGAACAACTGTTATCTTGTGTTATATTTCTAAAATGTAGACTACTAATTTTGTTGTATTTTAAACAACTGTTTCTTTCACTTGTATAGTGCTCAATAACACTACGCTTTGTTGTAGCTGTCCTTGAAGTATTCAAACTATCTTTTTACACAGTAGTCAGATTGTAAAACAAACTACGGCTCCAAAGACAACTAAGTATGTTTGCATAAGACAACTGCTATTCTGTGTTGTATTTGTAAAATGTAAACAACTATATTTGTTGTATTTCACATAACTGTTTATTTCTATTGTCTAACGTTTATTAACAGTACAGGTTTGTGTAGTTGTCCTTTAAAGATTTAGAAGACTGTTTTAATACATTATAAAGCTCTTTGAAAGACTACTATATTTCAATTCACATTTATATTTAATAAATAAAATTTATTTCAATTCTAAAATATTGATCATGAAATAAAAATAAAATCTAAAATGTAGAATATATTGAATAATATCTAAATACATACAATCCAAGTCTAAATAACATCCAATAATTTAATATTTACATAATTAAAATCACATTCTAATTGTCCATTCAGCATGCCTAATTTAGTTATTTGTCCCCACAATAACATTTTTGAATACATCCCTTGCTCTAGCAACATTTTCTTGTAAAGCATCCACTTTAGTCCTCAATCTGCATACCAATAAATAATTAAAATCAATGTTTGTTGATAACAAGAAAGAGTTCATAACAAAAATACTTGAAACTTTTTGGAGTTATTTGCTAGCTAAATACCTCCAAACTACTCCGTAGTTCATATGCATCTATTTAACAATTGAAGTTCATAATTTAGCTTAGAAATGAAGCAAAGCTGTAGAATTTTCTAAATAAAAAATAATTCAGTTTAGATTTCATTCAAAATCAACACATAAAATTCAAAAATCAATATATAAACACAATGTCATGCTTTAATTTGATGATAGTTTTCCGAACTATGCTTAACTAGTAGGTGTTCTTAGTCTCGAGTCCCCTTTGTGGACATTTTGTAACTTACTATATAATACGTAGGTAATATATATATGTCCATAACCATCAACCTTCATGTTTTCAACTTTTCACTTCTTTTTATCCAAAAGTCCAGTTAACTATTAATATCTTGATTTAGATGCATATACTATTTCCTAATCAGTCATAATTTAGACTTTAGGTTTAACGAAACCTATTGATTGGTGAAAAGTGAGCAATTCAGTAAATATACAATTGAGTAAATCTCGGTCTTGTTTTGTGTATCATAAATATACAATTGAGTAAATATACAATTGAGTAAATCTCGTTTTGTGTATCATAAATATACAATTGAGTAAATCTCGGTCTTCCACCCTTTTGTGGCAACAAAGATGGTATGTGATGACGATTGTGCCTTTTAGAGTAAACTGCGGAGCTGCTCGACCGTTGTTTTGAGATGCATCAATTTTTTCATCCATATATGTGAAGGAAAACATGCTATTGTATTTTCTTATATTTTTCATGAAATGAGAACTTCTCGAATCAATGTCATGAAATAAATTATACAGCAAGTCTAGGGTATTTTTTAGAAGTGAAATTTGCACTAAATAGGACTAAAACATAATGACTTTCTTAATCTAGGACTTAAACTTTTTTATTCCCTAAATAGGACTTAATAATGTGTTCGTGGAAGGAATAATGCCCAGCAATGATAGACATTACTTGAATAATGACTAAAGAATAATGACCAAAGGTCCTACATTCGGAAATAAAAACATATGGTCCTATTTTGGGAAAGTCATTATGTTTTAGTCCTATTTAGATAAATTACTCTTTTTAGAAATGGTAGTTGAACTTTTCTTTTCATGCAACAAATCGAGAACTCTAGATGGTTTGAATCTCTATATTTTTCGGCTCTTTCTTCATACCACAACAAAGCTCCACAAAATTCACATGCAAATGAGAGATTCCCAAAATCAATTATTTCTACAGAAAAAATAAAATATGATATAACAAATATGATATAAAACATACCTTTAATTTCAACTTCTCCAAATATAGGATTATCTAAAAATGAATCTTTTGTGCTCTCCAGAATAGAGGAATTTTCTACCTCCACATCTAAAATTGAGATATATTGAGTGTATCAATTATGAACTATTTGCCTAGATGGTTTGTAATATAAATGGTTAAATCACGTTTACCATCATAACTAATATTACCTCCATAAAAATTTATCGCACGTGTTACAAAAGATAGATCGATTCTTCTTTGTCTCTTTTGCACTGCTGAGATGGGTGTACAATTATTCCCTGATTAAAGCATTGTACAGATAAAATTTTAAAGTTGTTAAAATTATGTTTTGTGACGTTTTACTTCATAAGTAACCCTTCCACAAATTAAAAAAAGGATTAATTAAATTTTTTATTTGAAATTTATAAATACTTTTTGTCACATCACTAAGTACATTCCTTCTTGTGTGCGGCGTAGCATCTGACGACGATGTCTCTCCATCTGTACTTGTAATATCCATCATAAAGAAATTGTAAATACGAAGCATAAATTTTTTCCCCTCTATTCACATAAATCATCACCACATAACAGATATTCCAAGGTATTCTGAACCAAGTCCAAGTTGATGTTAAATTTAGATTATTTTTAAGGTGTTGACTATAGATATGATCAATCTATTTTTTCAACTATTCACATAAAACATCACCACATAATAATACAAAGATTTTCCTTTTTTAAAGGTAAATATTGGGTGTTTGTTTTTAATGAATATATTTAAATTTAATCTCATCATCGTGAATTAATTTTTTTAATGAAGATATATTTCCACCAAATGTCTTTTCTGTGAAATGCAATGTGAAAACAATAACTATGAGAAATATCTGCACTAAATAGTACTAAAACATAAGTCTGGAAATTCCATTCCCAAATAAAATGTCTAGATTCAACATGGCAATTCCTTCAAGACGCAACTTCTGTAAACAAGGCACTCATGACTCTAACCACACTCTCCTTCAATGTCAATACTCTATGAAAATCTGGAAATTCTTCTCCACACTGTTCTAAGGCCCTTTCATCAACGG